TATTAATGTACGACTTCTCCCACAGAGATCTCAGCTAGCGAGTTTTATGTTGCATTTGCAGGAGCCAAGAAATGCTTGGTGTCATGGGTTATATTTCAGTAAATTGCATATTTGAGTGCTTGACTTTGGCTTATCCATAAGCTCCTCAATGATTATCACTGGTGGAGGCCTTTTTGAGTATAAGTTAATCATGTTACCTTAGTGTTTTTACCTTTTCTTTCTTTTTCTTTTCCTCTTTTTGTTTTGTTTGTTTTTTGTTTATGGAACCTTTTGGGTCTGGAGACACTCTATTCCTAATAGATATTTTTTTTTTCTTTTTTTTTTTCGATATGATGCACTGTTGAGATTAGCATGCCATAAAATTGCTTGGAAAATGTTGATATTAGAAGTGCTTGAACTCCTCAGGTTTGCCTTTAGCGAAGAAGGAATGGTATTACTAGGTAGTGCTGCTTGGCAGATATGTATCAGCCCTTTTGGACATGTTTTACTGTTAAAGATAGTCCTTTTACCATCTAAAAAGAGACAAGGTTCCCATGCTGTGTCTGCTGTAACTGTGTATGCAAACCTTATCTGGCTGATTTTGCTGAAAAAGAAAATTAAAAAATAATTTTTAAAAGTGAATGTGCTCTTTTATTCTATGGATCTTAATAAGGATTGTTCTCAGTGTCAGGACTGTTTCTAATGAAGAGTGCTGGATTTGGTGTTAACAGGGAGAACAAGGAGTTAGGGGCCCCCCTGGACCTCCAGGCCCAGCTCCACATATGAAAGAGAAAGGAAGTGAAATCATCAGAGGAGAAAAGGTGAGACTTTAAATGATTACACCTGTTTCATTCTTGTTTAAGGGATAACCAGGTAGCTAACTAGCTAACTAGAGAAAAAGGTAACATTAAGTTACTTGCAGTCAATTTTTAAAAATGTTCTCGCTATTTTATATAATCAATTTTGATGGTCTTTCTAGAAGTTTCTCTGAAAATCTGATGACAACTTCATAAATAGGAAGGATGATTGATAAGTACAGTCTGGTAAACTCCCAATATTCTAAAAATTTGAATTTAATAACTTATACTGGGCTTTTCATTTATGGAATCACATTGATGGAACCTGAGTACTAATGAGTTCTACAAATACTGAATCAGACACTACGAGCAACTTATATTAGTATAATAAATTAACTGAATGGATTCCCTTTTCTTAATGTGTTTAGTCTGACTTCTTGCATATCATACTATTAAGCACATATTTTTAAGGGGGGAACGTGGTTAAATGTTCTGTATCTCTAAGGTAAAGAAAAAGTAAATGACTTGCAGCCTAAATGAACTATGGATATATATTCGCTTATTAATCTACTTTTCTTTTTCTATTTTCTTAGGGTGATCCTGGTGAAAAGGGTGAACAGGGTATCCCAGTAAGTATTAGGGAGAAGATTTCTTACCATGTGTAGTGAGAATTGTAAAGAATCTAATGGTGACCCTGACGATAGCTGATAGATAAAAGCAGAATTATGTCAGAGTATGTCAGTATTCTGAATGTAGTGGGTTTTTTGTTTTCCAGGGATTGCCAGGCTCAGGTTTCAAAGGGGACAAGGGTGAACCTGGGAAACCTGGTCCACGTGTAAGTATGCTCACCTTTATCAATGACATAGTTGGCAGTCATTGTGTTGTTTCCATAAATTAATTAAACTTAGTAATCATTAATGAAATAGCAAATGATTGTGGTTGTTTTAGTGTTTCACCCACTGGATATAGCAATTGTATATTCGTGTCAGTCTGTTAAGAGTGAAACTTGCTGTTTTACAGGGAAAGCCTGGAAAAGATGGTGAACCAGGACCAAAAGGAGAACCCGTATGTGTTTTTTTTTCTAAATTTCCTATACTCTTATATTTTAAACAAAACTTGATTATCTATTGCAGATGTTTGAAATTTCCTTGTCTTCTGAATTGTTTACATCAAATCGTTGCTATTGGTGAATTAGTGTCTGGTTTGTGAATTTTACAACTTTAATGGTGCCAGAATTAAGTTACAGCTATATCTGTGTTATCTGGTTTTGCTGTCTTCCACACGCAGGGCTTGCCTGGCGGGTTTGGGATTCCTGGACGACCCGGTGAACCTGGTCTTAAGGTGTGTGGACTCTTAATTTCCATTGCCCAAAGTAAATTCATGCGCCCTATTCACAGGATTTTGTTAAAACAACGAATGAGCACAAAGCAATATTAAATTAATATTAAATGAATGTTGTGCAGACATCATGCAGAGATTAGGAAATGTCAAAATTAAAGTTGCTTAGGTGTCCTTAATTTATATATAGTATATGAATAGATTAGTGCAGTCTTTAATTACATAAGCTCTTTGCTTAGCCAGCAAATGTAACAATGTACTTCCCCAAAATCAGATTCTCTTTATATATATAGTGTAAAGCAGTACAGTTCCGTGAACTATAACTAATTACTACTTGTCGTAAATTCACGGGTCTTTTGCATTTGAAATTTGTGAATATGTAGCAAAGTGTTGATTTGCTATGGAAATTTTATTCTGTGATGAAGAAAATCTCATGTATTATACAGAAAATAACTGAAAGACACTGTGCAAAAGTTCAATGTAAAATGTGAAATGTGTTTAAATTTAGGGTGAAAAAGGTGATCAAGGTCTGCCAGGGCCTCCAGGAAGAGTAAGTACAATAAATTCCTGTTTTATTTGAGCTTAAAGGAAAACACACATGTTGTGAAAGTCAAAGCATTCAAGCAATCAGGAAAAAAAAAAACCCTGCATATTCTGATCTCACTGAAATCAGAAATGCTATTATGGTTTTTCCTTAATGGAAGGAAAAGTTGAAAGCCCATGTTTGAAATTTGGAAAGGAAATTCCTAAGGAATATGAATTTTGAATGTTTTTGACTATGAGAATGATGGACAATCGTTATCAGTCCATCTATTCGTAAGAGAGCTCAAATGTGTATGTCTGTTAGCTTGGCACTATGTAATTTTTTAACACTTCAAGGGAAAAAATGAAATTGCTATTAGTCAAGAAGAGATAAATCATTGATCACGCATCTTCTCCAACATCTAAATTTGGTTGAAAAGTGGTACATACTCCTTACTGTAAATACAGTATCCTGTATGTCATGTTTAGATTGAGGCTGGCAAAAATTACCCGAGTAGAGTCTTTTAAAATGAATGGCAATACAAACCTCAATGCTTAGACCATGTTATGGCTTCTTTACACCATTCTTGTTGAGAGAAATATTGTAAAGCTCTGAAGTTAGTCCTACTGCTGAGATGAATGAATTCCAGTAGAAAAGGAAATCTCTCTTTTTCCTCTCTCTCTTTTTC